AACATCTTGGCTGAAATTCTATTCAAAGTTTTATCACAGGGCTTTGCACGTGGATGAATTTCAACCATAGTTTCTTTTTCACCTGATTTTTAAGGCCAGCAGGAACCATTATAATCATCTTGGCTGAGTCCCATAAGCCAGAGGGTTTTGCTTAGTGATTGCTGCATGGAGCTTGTGGTAGAGCTTGAGCTTGAGAAAGGCATTCAATCTTGATTTAAAAACTCAAGTGTCAGGGAGTTTGTCCTGGATAGTTTACTACCTACCCAGGCTTGTTCTTGTGGATCAGTTCTCTGAGTTACAGAATTTAGGCCATACAAGAAAAGGAAGCAAAATATAGTGGTGCCTCCCTTCACAACTCAAGTCTCAGATGAGACTAAAAATTGAGTATATTGAGATTTACTTTTTACAAATCCGTACACATCTAGTTTCAGATTTTTACAGATATACACATTAAAAAAAGACTCCTGGAGAGCTGAAACTTTTTTCTTTAAAATATTTGTAGTGAGCTTCCCTATATGTTTTAAACACCATCATTTTTATGGCTGTTGAAGTGTTTGTTTATGTACTTGGAGGCTTGATTCTGGGAGATAGGGAGGTTGGAAAAAGAAAAAAGATGTTGTTCAGCAAGCCAATGGACAACTAACAGTTGACAATTTGCTTTCAAAGAAAAAAATGAGTGTTGCATGTGCTGAAAAAGTGCCTGGATCTGTGTTGGTTGTGCTGCAGTCAAACTGTGCCTTATTGGACCTGTAGCCTTGGGTTCCAGTCCAGCCTCTGTCCTGGAACTTTGCTGAGTTCATTGCAATCACTTCTGTATTGATAAATGGAGTCCCAATATTCAGATTTCGTGCCTCAGCCTGAGCTTGTTTGCTCAGTATAGGAGCACATGAGCTGTACTGGGGTGACCTCAGCCTTTGCTGGCCTCTTGGCAAGTGTTTTGGCAAGGAACAACTGCAGGCAACACCACCTTTTACCTTCCTTATTGAGTTGGACCATTGCAGGAGCATTTCCTTTGGCATCAGGGAGTGCTGAAGGTTCCTTGAGAAACGTTCTGGCTCTGAGCCATGAGAGCACTCCTCTGAGAGACAAGGACAAACAGAGGGCAGGGTACCAAAAAGTTATGTAACATTAGACAAGTCCAGGTTAAGGTCCTGTGATAATGAAATAAGGGTTGTTCATAGGAGCAATCGTTTTCTTGATAGAGTTATTTTTGTTTTTGTTTTGTTTTGGTTTTTGTTTTGTTGTTGTGTGTGTGTAAGTTTGTTTGTTTGTGGTTTTTAGTTTTTTTCTTTCATACTCTGTAAATGTCTTATCAAAGTTCAGAAAGGAAGTCTCTCCTAACAAGCATGGGGAAGAAAACATTATCAGTTGAAGGCCAAGTTAATAAAGAGTTGCCTATTTATTTAAGACTTTGCTTGTGGATGAGAAGAATAATTGCATCAACAGTTGATTAGGCATTAATATCTGTACCAGCCATTAAACCACTGGGAACTTGGAAATGGGGTAACTGGTATAGAACTGGCTAGGTGCTGTTTGACCTCAATAAACCTTAAGGAAGAAGGAGGTTGTGAGGAGCACAAGAAAGTTCTGCAGGTGCTGCTACTGCCTCTGTTCTGCTTTTTCAGTCCAGATTTTACTAGATGAAAATTACTTTCATACTGAAAAATGGAAAACCTTTGACTATCCAAACTTAAACTGAATTCAAGTGTTTCATTGTCAATAAGTTAAAGATTTCATCTTTTGCGGGTTTATCCTAAATATCCAGCCTTTCAACGTTTAACTGGTATTTGGACTATAATGTTTCTGTGTCTTTAATGAGGTGCATTTTATATGTTACATAGGGTACTTGTTTTTAAAATGGTTTCATTTACTAATACAGTTCTCTGTACTTACACGAGAAAATATCTGAATCACCACATGATGCTAGGTAATTTTTAATTGTATGTAAATGTCAATATAGTACCTACATATGTAAGTACACAATGAAGTCTCGAGGAGAGAAACATTAACCATAGGTGAGTGGTGAGAACAAGAGCAGCACTCCTCATGTGGAAACAAGAAATCAGAGGGAAAACCTCTTCTTCTCTGCATTCAATTTCAGGATTAATGTATGTCCCAGGTTATGTAGGAGCAAGATTTCATTGCCTCACCCAGTGTTCCCTGCTGGCAAGAGATATCCTCATGTTCCACAGCAGAAGTGCCACTACTGGCAGTGACATTGGTGGCAATGTGTCTGTGGAGCCTGGGCTGTGGCTCCTCTGACCCATTCACATCACAGTCAGTGAGAACTTTCTCAAGGCTCCAGTTATTTCCATCTGGTAAAGGAAGGATGCATTTGACACAGGTGTCTGTTGGCCTTTTCAACTCTAAGTGGCCACTCTCCAACTGGCTCAGTGATGGGACTATCCACAGAGGAAAGGGGAAACATCCCTGCTGCACACTTCCTTTCAGAGCAAATCCTTATGTCATGAAGAACCTAAGATATTTCAGCACACTTTGGATTGGTTTTCTAGAGAAAAAGTTTGATGCAGGTGTTTGCTGCCCATTTGATCTTAAATAGTCTGGAAGAGATGCTTAGCATATCCTCTAAACTCTTAACTCAGTAGTCCCCAAGCAATGTCCTCTCTTTTTAAAATTTTAAACTGAAGAGAACCCAGCATGCTCTAGCTTTGCTTCTCAAGTTTTGTCCCTTCATTTCTTTTTTTTTTCCTAACAGGCATAAGCCTTAAGCACAGGTGGCTGCTGTAGTTTTTTATTTCTGATGATAGCTATTGACCTGCCAACTGGGTATTCTCTTGGTAATAGTAAACAGGTTCCTAATGGCTAAACTTTCTTCCATTTAAATTCTGTAGTCCAAAAATAATCTTGTTTTTTATTAACCAGGGAACATATTATTAAACACATACATCATTTTTACCAGACTGTACCTCTGTAAACCTAAGTAGATTTAAGTCAATGTTTTAGGGTTTTGTTATTTTTATTCTTTTTTTATTTTTATTTTTTTTAAGTTTTAGGATAGGCCTCAAACAATGGAAATTAAAAAGTGAATTTAGTGATTTGTGTGTAAGGAGGAGGCCTGGGAGCTAGAAGCTATACACAGTTTTGACAATGTGTTTGAAACTACATAAGAGAGAGTGTGTGACGAGTAGCAGACTCCTTGCTGGTTATGACAGACTCAGAATCAATAGGTGATTTCAAGGAGTGTACTCCTCTGGATTATCTTGTTTTGTATGAGTTATGACACCTATTTTTTTTTCTGTATTTACGTAACTTGTTTAAATTATAAAAATCCATTTTATTTTCTCTGCTGTTAAAAGAAAGGCGAGACCTTCCTGGCATCAGCTGGATGACCCCTTGAATTAACTGATTATGAAAATATCAGAGTTTTCTTATGCTGATGTGGTCTGGGCAGTACCTTCTGGTACAGCCAAACCATATGGAATTTATATCTCCGTCAGTACATAGGAAAATGAGATTATTTACTCCAGGATATGGGACTGGTCTCATTGACTCTCTGAATCTTTGTGAATGAGTGTGAATGTTCAGGGAATTGACAGGCTGCTGTCACAGGCTCAGCCCAAGTGCAATCCAGCAGGCTCTGGTCAAGCTCTTGCACACGCTGCTCTGCCAAAGGACTTCAGCCTTCACCTACAACATCCTTGTTTTTCCATTACTGAGACTTTCCCAAACATACAGAGCCAAAGGGACATATTAACACATGCCTGCATGCCAGAAGGCACAGCATGTCTCTGTGACCAGGAAACACACTCGTTATTTAACAATGGATGGAGCTCTCTGCGTTTGTTTTTCACCTGAGTTAATCTTGGCACCTTAGTTAGTATCCTTTAGGTCACCTAATATGTTATGTAAGTGAGCTGTAGCTGGCCAGCATGTCCAAATTTCCCTTTCCCACAATAATGGGAAAAGACAGCTTTAGTTTTCATCTTCTTGCCTCATTTGGATGTCACATGGGGACGGTCCTGTCCTATTGTGCTCTTCCAGAAAAGTCTGTGGCTTCAGCATTGATGATCCACCTCATCTGGACATCCTTTTGCCTGGCTAAAAATCCATGTGTTACTACAATCAGTAACTTTTACCATTGGCATGGCTGCTGCTTCTCTTCAGCAAAATTCTAATTTCTTTCTTTTTTCCCAATATATTATTCCTACTCTGCCTTAGAAGGATGTGTATTTTTCTCCCTTTCTACCTATTTTAAACTAAAAAAAAGATCAAAATGGGATTTTCTGGATTGCTCATTTCTTGAAACAATCCATGGTGACAAATGGGTAGTGTTAATGGAGAAGAAGGCAGAAGGCTCCAGAGGAGATAGTGCTAAATGGCATGAAGATCAAGAGGCCTGATCTACAAGTGTGGTTTGGGCCAAACTGTGGTTGTGTAGGTTTTTTATTTATCTGGTAATTATTAGTGAGAGAAGACTGCTTACTCTAAAATATTTCTGTATTTTTCTGGATAGTTATAATGTATCTGGAAATTTTTCTTGTTCTTCTTCAAGAGATGTTTTTGAAAATCGCAATGTTTTAGTCATTTGTGATATACAGCCTCCTCTCAATACATATAAAGGTTAAAAAGTGTATTTCTGCTTTTTTGGTACAAGCACAAACTTCTAAATCCACATGAGCCTTTCTCATGAATAATGAAGACTGAACCCAATGGGAAGAAGTCGAGGAGAGAGAAAACATGGACATAATTGTTTCAGGGATGGGAGAGCAGTGGCAGAGAAGGGACTGCTGCAGAAATCTGTCCCTAGCCAGGTGTCCCTGGAGCAGGGCTCCTCCTCCTGGAGCCATCCTTCACATAACACACTTTTTCACTGCTTCTCTTGCAGGGTTCGTGCTGGGGGGACCCTCACAGCTGACTTGAGGAGGGGAAATGCAGTGTTGTGTTGCATGGCTTCCACCTTTGCACTCAGTGTGGAATTTGGGAGCTCTGTGGGGCACCCAGTGCTGCTTGTTAGCCTGGCCTCACATCTCAGCAGCAGCCTGGCCAAACCTCTGCTCTTTGTGCCTCTGCTGTGCCCCTGACACCACAGGCACAAGTAATTTTGGGTAAGTCTGTTCTGAAGTTTGATTTAATAAATCCCTCTAATAAGTGCAACAAAGGAACAGAAAAGATCCTTTTGGTGGCTGAGCCAGCTTAAACGAGCAGAATGCTTTCTAATTAACAATCCAGTGGTTCACTTCACATACTTGGCTTTCTGTAAAGTGAAAAATACCTTTAAAGCATTCAAAGGCATCTTTGTTTTAAAGGAGCAGAGAAATGCTGCTCCATCCACTGACCACCACCACTGATCCTAAGGCCATGCAGCCCCAGGTCGCTCTCACAGAATGGTTGCCAATATTTTCTCAGCAAACTCTCTATCGATTGCATAAATACAGTACAGTACCCATGAGGTAGTGTTGACCTGTCACATAGTAAAGATGTGGCAAGCCCCATAATTCATTACCAGTTGGAAATAGAACATCATTGGAGAGATAAGGATAACAATGACTTTCCATCCAATGATAAATTACTAGCAGCTGCATTATTTTCCCTCACTTATATATGGCTCTCTTTATTGAATTTAGCTTGAGATAAATAAATGATCTGCCAGGAGCCTGGTTAATATTACTTCTCTGGGACCCATTTCAGGCCCAACTAGGCTTTTGCTGATATTATCTTTAAGCTTTTCAGTAGGGAGAGACATAACATTTGTTTCTGACAAGAACCCTATGTCGCCTTATCTGTTTCATTTGAGAGGCCGTCGACCTCGGCTTCTTTAGTTAAAATGAGAGCTTTACTGTAGAGGCTAAGTTCTTGAACTTGACTCTCTTCTTACAATGAGATTATATGTCCTGGTTGTAAATTTGAAGCCACACATGATATACAGTTATTCTTAGCATTTCCTGTTGATCACAGGGTGGTATTGATTTGCCCCTGCTTTTGAATCTTTCTCTGATTTGTTTGGAAGGAATTCCACCTTTTAAAAAATTACTGTTTTTCACCCCATAATAATATGTGAGCTTGTTGATGCACACTCATATTTAACTTCAGGTATTTGTTCCATTTGCAAATGACAGTGGGTTGTTTTTCCACAACCTCTCCCTCCTCCCTCCACCTTTGGAAAGACATCTTAACAAACATATCTACTTGGTTAAAAATAAAAAAGCCAGTCTAAGAACAAAAGATTAACTCTTTCTGTGAATCGAGATGCCAAAGAAGGCAATTGAAGCCCCACAATTCTTTTTGTTACCATTAATAATTCCTGTATTGCTTCAGTGAGCCTGGCTTTGCAGGTTCCATTGGAAAATTTGAAGCAAGGAGGGGATAGAGTGGAGGTGTGAGGCAGCAGGAATGATTAGCCGGCACTGCACTCCTCCAGTTACTGTTTGGATACTTCCATTGTGGTATTTTTGTTATTTCTGGGAAGCTCTATCATCAGGTTTTAGATGAAAATCGGACAACTGCCATTTTTCATACAGCGTGAATTAGAGGAAATTAAACCCAACCACTTCTGATAAATCCTCTCATAAATAAACTGGCTGGTGGTGTTAGATATAAGTCCAGCCACAGTTTGATTCACATTGCAGTGAACAAAGAGCAAGTTCTGTCTATTTTAATGCTCCATCATAATTATTGTTATTTATACTACAGGAATGCCTGAAGGCTCCAGCTGAGTGTGGAGACCCCACGTGCTAAATGCATAATCAGACTTGCCTGGAAGGGCTTGCAATAGGAATGAAACAGGAAAAAAAGGGAAGAAGCACTGTTATAACCTCCTGTGCCTTTTACTTCACTTTTACAGGAAACTGAGGCTCAAGGGAGGAAAGAAGTCAGCTCAAGGCAGCGAGGAAAGTCTTTGGCAAGGTTGGCAACTTCTGAAAGATCTTATGAGCTTCTGCCAAGTGCCTTGATGTGAGATCCTTTCCTACAGTTTTTTGGGGGGTCACCTGTCTGCTTTATGCTTTCCCACTAGGCAAAAGTTAGAAGATAAAATGGGAATATAACGATAAATCTCTTTTATCTGATGTTAGAGGAATTCGCGGTTAGAAAAAGAGGCACACCCTAAATAGCATTTTGCACAGATTAATGTAAAAGAAGATATAATCTGTGTGCATTTTAATTTTAATAATGTCTTGTCTTGAAATGAAATAAGGAAAATTTGCCTTTTTATATAATAGGAGTAGTTTTGGCATGTACTGGCCATTTAGCCTGTCACATAGAAGATAAAAAAATCTTGTACAATGCTCTTAAAGGCAAAAAGGTTAATATTTATCAAATCAGAAAAATAGGACAGTCATGTGACATGCAGTTGGTGTAAGCCAGAACCCATTCTTGTTTATCTTGAGAGATTGACAGGATCTTCTCACCAATAATTATTAGCTAAACTCTTAAGAAATTAAATTTGCTTTCAATCACAAACACAGGCAGCAGGGAAAAAGAAAAAAAAATGGTGGTGGATATGAAATAAATTATTTGCTGACAAATAATGAGAATGCTTTTCCATTTCTGCTGTGCTGCCATTCTAATGTTTCCCCGAGTACCCAGAAAGCATCAGGGTGAGATTCACACACTTGCACAAAGCCAAATTAAAGAGGCTTCATGCAGGGCTTTCCACAGAAGACTGAATTGACTTTGTGCCCTTGTGTATTCTCAGTGTATGAGCAGAGGGAGGGGAGGGGACTGCAGCAGTCGTAGCAGTCCCCAGAGTGAGCTGGGACAACTGTTCCAAGGGGTTCTGACCAGAGATTCCAGGAGCTTTGTCATCAGACCCCTTATCTCATTTTCTGTGTGGTGATCCCTTTGGGCCTGGAGGTGCAGGGATCACTTTTTGGAGGGATGAAGTCATCAGACATCCCTCACTTCTATCCAAACCACGTCATTGCAGCAGGGAAGGGTCATACATATCACTGGAAAAGTTTACTCTAGTGAATCATTCTTGCTAAAATCCTGTGCAGTGCTGGGTAAATGCAGCCTGTCCTTTCTGTGAGCCTTGGAAATGGAATGCTGAAGTCACTTGACCAGCATGAAGGGAGGTTCAGTTGGGAATAAAACCGGTTTTGGATTTGATTAATAGAATACTCCTCCTTTCCTGGCTAAGAAAGGACTGCTTTTTCCTGATACATGGGTAGTGCCTGGATTACCAACCTGTGGCATTCATCAGTACAGTTGCTCTGTACTTTGTTCACTCTGCCATGGAGGACTCTTGATCTATATTGCTGTTTCCACAAACTATCTATTACTCAAAGTAGTTGCTTGATGTCCTATGAGGCTACCAGAGAATTTTATGTCCGTGAGCTGCTGAGAGGTTTTACAGCATTGCTGTCAGTACATATTTGACAAGGATCTTCTGCAAACTTTGGCAGAGGAAGCGTAGCTTCTGTATGTACCTCTAAATCTGATTTGGTTCACTTGGACCACAGGCTTCTTCTCTTTTGATGTTTGGTCAGTCTCCACTCTGACCACCTGTGTGCAGTGACACTGCAGTAACTCCCCTGCTCGTCACTAGATGCCACCTTTGCAGGCAATTAGATCCACCTTAGGTGATGATTTTTATCTCTCCCACTGGAGTCACTGCCTTTACAGCTGACTTACAGCAGCAGATCACACTGGTGCTGTGTGGCTCCTGCCAGTGCCAAGTGTGCAGATTTAACCTGTCCTGCTCAGTGGTGGTTCAAGAGTGCTGTGGTGTCAGTCACTTGCAGTGTTGCTCACAGGGACCTGGGCCAGGGCCAACAATTCAATTCACATTATTGGCTGAGTAAGAAAAATGCCACTGGTGATGACCTTGTCATAAATCCACAGCCCCAGTCCCCACACCACCAGCTGTCCAGACCAGCCTTTTTAGGACTGATTGTATCTGTGTTCTGGTTGCTAAAATTGTTTGGGTTTTTTGGTGTTTCAACTCTGTGGTCTCAGAGGAGCAAATTCATCAATGATTTTGCTTTCTCATCCCCACTGTGTGCTGTGTGCCAGCAAGGCTGGGGAACAAGGCTGTCTTTAAATGAAAAAGCCCTGCCTTTTCCTCCTCGCAGTCGTACAGGTTAAACACGACTTCTAGCTTCTGTCATTCATCCTATTAAGAAAACCCTAGACTGCCAAGTGCAACCTCATTTGCCAGTTTCTAGGGGATGGCAAGCATTTATACCTGAATCATAAACCCTGAAGGAAGGGCCTTATCTGATGTGGTACACCAGGCTTAATGGGCTGGTCTATGCAGCTGCAGCACCTTGGGTAAGAACTTCAACAGCTCCTCTTAAAAATAACCAGCTTGATGTTCCCTGCACTGTGCAAAAGGACATGGCTGTTTGTGTTCACAGACCTTGCACTTCACTGCTGCAAGTGGTTCTTTGGTGGCAGGATCTAATTGAGCAATATCCTAAACTGGTTTGATTCAGTTTGAAGTTCCAGTTCTGCAGCAAGAGCGAATGAGGTTGGACCAGTTATCTCTCTCTTGCCTCACTTGTAGGATGGAGATGCATTAATGTGTTGATGATGTAAGAGTGAAGGAAGACTTTGCTTGTAGCCATTATTGCTGAACCAGTTGTTCTGATGATTTACCCAGAAAGCCCTAAGTGTCCTTATAAATGTAAAATTTCCTTTTTTTTTTTTTTTTAAATTCTTGAGCAGATGGAAGGCTTAGATGGAAAGGAATAAAAAACATAATTTGCCAAAGCCCTCAATTAATCATAATCAAGTTTGTGCATGTTATACTCTACAAGGGTAACAACAATGAAACACAAGGAGAAAAGGATGCTTTCCTCAGGCAGTTCTGGAGACATAAAAGCAATAAAGAAGCATACTTCAGAATAATGTGGAGATATATGACTGCACTAAATAAAAATGCTTCTTTAACGTACTGTAAAAATAAAGATGTTTAGTTGGATTTATCATTCTTGTTACAAACACAAATTGATCCCTTGGACTACACCACTGGGTCTGAAAATATTTGAGGGATGGTTGCAGCCCACTATTTTCTGTAATTACTTAAACATTGTTTTATTTGTTAAAGAGCTAACTGGATTATTCCTTCTTTTCACTCTGAGGTTAATATATTGGACACTTGATCATGCAGATATGGATTTTTGACTTTTTCACTATATTCAAGCCATATTTTAATTTGGTATACTGAAAGGAATGGTTTGCTTATTCTTTTCCATGAGTCACATCTAAACCTGTGAAAAGACATTTTTAAAACTAGTTTTACAAATAGCAACATGTGGTAATTGGAAGCCACCCCACTCCCCAAATCCGCTCTTGATTGACTTGAGAACATTCAAAACCAGTGAGATTCATTTCTGCAGCTTCATTCAACCACTGCAATGAGCAAATGAAACAATTGTTTTATTTGTAAGAGGAGATTATCCCTTGAAGGCAGAGAGAAGGATACTGCCCACAGAACCCCATTTGCAGGCACAAAGAGGGCTTAGTAAATTTTTGGCAGTGATACTGAAGCTATTAGTTTTGGATATGAGTTCACTGATGTTCTGTGCTGTAGATTTCCAGTTAGTTCGTGAAGGGCCTTTAAAATTACACACAGAGCTTCATTAATTGCTTCAGAAAAGAAGCAACAAATATCAGGCCCTTAAAGTGTGTGTGCACAGAATGGCCATTGATTTCAATGAATATTCCCCACTGGAGAGCTGGTCCTATGTCCTGGGAAGGCAATCACAGTTTGTACAGTAGTTACATCAGCATTGCCTCAAAGTACAGGGCTTCTGCAGGATCAGGCCCTGGTAGCTGTAATTTTTTTTTTTTAAATCTCTTTTTTTTTCTCTTTCTTTCTCTGTTTCTTTCTCTCTCTCTTTCTAATTGTCTATATACATGGTTTATATACATGTTCACAGACATACACATATATATTTGTGATTTAGTGTGTTAAAAGTAAAACAGTCAATGTGTTAACTCAAGTTAGAGACCAATGCAAGATGACAAGGATCTTTCAAAAGAAAACAATAGAAATCCAGTTCTATGGTCTTGAAGAGGTTTTTTTCCCCTATTTCCATTTGATAGAGTAGTGCCTGAACATTTGTTCTGCAACCACCTATTCATAAAGGAGAATTTCCTATGCCTTCCTTGCAAATGGCACAACCTCATGTGATCCCTGATCACAACAAATTGATTTATTTAAATAAAAATAATGATCTTCTTTCCTTTCTTCAGCCCTAGCAGCAAAATCCCATGTAACCCTGATCAGCAAATTGATAGTTATCTTCTTTTGCCCTCCTTTCTCCAACCCAAACAATACCACCCTGATCCCCAAGTAATAAGAAAATGATTTATGCAAACAAAAATAATTATCTTTCTTTGCTCTCCACCCTCTGACTGTATAATCTCAGAAGCTCCTTGTTTAACAAATTGATTTATTTAAATTAAACAAATAGTGATCTCCTTTTGACCTCTGTGGAGCACCTCTGTGGCAGACTGCTACCACTGCAACCACCTTAGCCATATGCTTAGAAGGATGTATTTTAAAATATAACAGCACTTCAAACTAACCTTGATACTTTATGACTCCTCTAATCGAAGCTCATAGAAGCTCTGTTCCTGTTAAATGAAATTAGGACATTTGTCATCTGAAAATTAGGAGAAGTAAGTTAAATGTCACTGGACCATCATTGGCAAAACTTTCAAGGAGCAAGAGGCAGAGTTCTGCTTGTCAGTGTTTTCATTGACATGATCTTGTTCCTTGTTTGATAGTCCTGAAGATATATAAATACATGCATATGTTCATGTGATCTGTGTACTTTTTCCTGTGCTGGTTTTATTTAAATTTGTATTTTCCGTGCTGTCCAACCAATGCCTCTGTTTGGTACAGCTGCTACTTAAACAGTCATTTGGGCATTATACAGAATTACATAATTATATGTGCCATAAGCAAAAGTGCAAATAATCCCACTTAGCACCTAATCAGATGATATCTCTTGTGAAATGCTGGTGAGGGAGCCAATAGATATGACTTACTTTGCTATTAGCTATGCTTCTTTGGAGGGCTGCAGCTGGAATTTGGCAGAGATGGAAGAGGCATTAAGTGATAGTGGGGGCCTGAGTGTATTGTGTACAGAAACATTCTTTCCTCGACCAGTTTCTGTGGTGTGCAATGCTCAGAGCAGGACAGTGGTGTTAACCAGTCTCCCAGATTTTGAAATACTTTGGTTTTCTCACAGTTCATTCACGCTCTGTGTCTGCTTTGGTTTCAAACCCACGGTGCTCTCCACCAGAAGACAGTGACATGACAGGAATGGTGACACAAGGCTCTTACTGTTACATTGAATAATTGATTCTCCTGGATGGATTGTGACTCCCTAAAGGTTGCAAAGAGAGGTAAGAATGATTGGACAGCTTCAAAAACATTAGTTCCTTCCAAAGTCAGAAAGTTTTTACTCCCGTGCATCATTGTCCTTCACGGTCTAGCACTCTTTGGGACTCTTTGGGAAACACATGGGAAAATCATTAAGAGAGATTGTTTGTATTAACCAGGCATTTTATTAGTTCATTTTTGGGTAATTTTGAGTGGGATTTTTAATGTACATCACTGAATTGGGAATCACCATGTGAAAATGCTGATTGTATCCGTTTTTATGATTGTTACAAAGTCTACATGGGAAATTCAAATGAAAAGGAAAGTATTGCAAAAACTGCTCAAGTTGCAAATTAGAAATATAGATACCACTGAAGTTTTTCAAATCCCACCTTTTTTATTTCCTCAATTTGAAATATAATTTTTATTCCTCCAAAATCCAAATAATTGAGGTTTTTACATGTGAACACGTTTGGAGATATAATCTCAAAATATACTTTGATATTTGTTTCAGAATGTTCTATTTCAAAGTTCAGTCCTTCCCATGCATTTTAATTACCTTTACTCCTGACTTGCACAAGTAAAATTAGGTGAGACACATGCTGTAACATTATGCAAAAATGCTCTCATGAAAAAATAGTAATCTTGTTCTGAAATTGTACATGGATGATTATTAGAGCTGCAGCCTTTTAAAAAATTCAACCACTGTCTATTGACTTGCCAGAGAGGCAAGTATTTCTACAGATGGCTTGGAATTAGTGGAACATGAAATAATGTCAATGGTACTGGTAAGAGGATTAACCAGCAGTTCTGATGTTATTGAACGGTTTGCAGAGACCATATTAAACAGCCACATCAGTCCACAGGTCAGCCCTGCAGTTCTTCAGCTAAGCAAACACAGATGTAGAACTCCCTTTCATGGCCATCATTTCATGCCTTTGACATATGTTAGGCTCTTGGGACTCAGTGGCATATTTACAGCCTGAACATTAAAGATTCCTTTTTTTAGATCCTTAGTGGACACCGATGTCTAAGTCAGCAGCAGAAGGAAAAGCAGGAGCCCAGGACACTGGGGATGGACCCCAGCAACACAAATGTATCAGTGAGGAATTAAACTGCTAGAAAGTTCCCTGATGAAATTCTTGGGCCTTTTTCAGTTGCTGACAAAAATTCTCTTTAAGAATCCAGTCAGTTTTAAATCTCTTTTTCGTTCAGGTTGATCTTCTCTGTATTTTGCCAAAGCTGCCTATGAAGTCGCAGTGGTTGAGTTTCACAAGGCTACAGGGTTCAGCTCATGTCAGCACTGCCAGCCCTCTGTGCTTGTTCAAAGTTTCTGCAAATCTGCTGGGACCACAAATTGGCCAGAAGAAATTGAGGGAACAGTGTTATACAATATTTCTGTTCCTTTTCTATTCCAACAGAAACTTTTGCAGTACTTTGATATTTTCCTCAGTTTTTTTGTTTCTCTAAAACTAGGAGTCAGAAATGAAGAGAATAAATAGCACAACTATGTGATGAACAGGTATCTTATACATACACAAAATACATACTTATGTATGTCTAATGAGAACAGGATGGGACAGGTTCTTCTTGTTTATCTGAATAGATTTCCCTGTCTTAATCCTGAAAACTTGTCACTTTTCAGATAAAGATATAGGTATAGACATGCTATGTTCAAAGTAGAATTCCTGAATGTAAAGGTTGCTGACAAAGAATTTGTATAGAAAGAAGATAAATCAAATGATAAAATACAAAGCTTTTGGTCAATAATTGCTTAATATGGTGCAAATTTTAAGTGAAATTTCCAGCATACAACTGCTCCATGTGTAGCCACTTCTTCCTGCAAGAGGAAATAAACACTCAACCAGAGAGTGTAACAATGAATTACATTCAACCTAGAAGTGCTTTAGCACGTCTTCAAGAGCTGCTGCCTGCTTCAGTGATGGATTATAAGTTAGCATGGAATCCCACAGGCATGGCAAGGTATTTATGTAGTGTTCTGATTGCTCAGACACTCCCAACAAATGTACAGTCAGAGCAGAAATCAGAGTATCACTATCTCCCACTTCATTTTATTTATTTATATTTAGTGAGTGCTGGAATATTACAAACCACCAAGCACAGCTGTAGCTGGAATATACTTTCCAAAGCTTATTTACAGTAGCTCTCACTCAATGGGTAATGGTATATTACTCCATAAGTAATGGTATATTACTCCATAAGTAATTCCATTGATTTCAAGAGATCCATTAGAGAGGTTCCATTCCTTGTACAGCTGAGTGTGTCTTGATTTGGTCCCATGGTTGAAATGCAGAAAGAGCTCCTTTACTTCTGTCTTCTTAAATGCATGAACAGTTTGAAAAAAAGCCCTACACCAAGCCCTCCTCCAAAAGCTTTTAATAGTGCAAAATACTGATGAGGCTGGAGGGATAAGGTTTTGCAATATTTTATTTCCTTGTAAAATCAGTGATACAAGTTCTTCAGTTATACATAGATGAACGTTCATTCCATGTGCTGTTTTCAGCTGTGTATTTACACCAGTCCAAAATCCCAAAGAGAAAAGTAAAAGCTGAGATTCACATCAGTAGCAGAGAACATCAGGTGATGTTGATTTAAAGAAAACATTAATCAATCCAGATTTGCTTGGAACAGGGCCCAGGTTCACTCAACAGGTTGGTGAACCTTAGCAAATGTTTCTGTGAATCTGTTCTGTGTTTTGACTTTGTAACGTGATCTGAAATCATCTGAGTTTCATGTGGTTTTGTTGTGCACGTTTGGAACGCTCGTGGGGCGAATCCAGGGAAAGACAGAGGTGCTAAATTTTGCATGACGTGGTAAGGTAAGAAGTGTTTCACTCTTCCTGACACCAAAGTGAACAAGAGTTGATGCTGTCAGCGCAGTTTTAAAAGGGGAGACAATCACTGTCTGTCAGGCTCCTTGTGTCTCCAGGAGTCTTTGTTTTGGAGCCAACAGACAGTCTTCAAATCATATCCTGAAAAACCCTATCATGAGTTTTGGACTGTTATTTTCTTTTTCTGTTTCTGGTAAATGTCAAAAGTTTTACTGCGTAGGCAGGTCCTGGAGTTGTGAACAGTATGTTATGTTTCTTGATGTATATTGGTTTGAGGAAGTTTTACAGTGCTTCTAAAAATTAAGTTTTTATGTTGAGTCTGTGGATGAGCAACTTGTGTTTTAACTTTATTCGGTTTGTATCTGAATTCATAAATAGGTGTACTCAGCCTCCATAGCTGAATATAAAGTATTTAAGATCCTTCTACACCAATCAGGTAAAAAATATGATAAGGTGACACTTTCTATTAATTTTATTTTTAGTCCAAACTAGAGCCCAGAGCAATAAAGATGTGAAACACTCTTCATGAAAAACAAAATCTAATTCATCAGAGGATGCCAAATTTTTCATTCTGTTTCAGGGTGAGGAACAGAATTTTGCTGGAGCTGAGATTTTGGAGACAAAGGCAGGTGGGAGAAACTGTTTATTTCTTTGCACTGATTCACTGCCTCAAAATTGAGACATGTTTGTGGATCAGTGAGGTGACAGGGAGCTTAGAGAAGCAGAGCCCAGTGAGTGTAGCTTAGTGGCCTGGCATATATACAATGTCAGAGTAGATAATTTAACTGTCTCTTCTGACCTTAAACCTGAGGAAACTCAAAGAAAAAAATCAAAGACTGCAGAGGTTATAGGTAAGAAAAAAAGTAACTGCTGGTGTGTCCTTTAATGCCCTGAAGGTCTGCATTCCTTAGCACATCAGACTGGGATACAGCCACGGATGGAATGGTCCTGTCAGTCCATTCAGAAGTACAGTAGGAAGGAAGAACAGCTTGCCAGTAATACTCAGGTTTAAATTGATCTCTTTATTCTCCTCTAGAGGAGTTCTGTTTGCACCCACTCTGTGCAAACGTTGCATTTTTCCACTAAGGTTGTCTCACTTATTTAACTTGACACAGGGAGCCCCCTCTGAGGTCTTTGAGATTCCAGCCAGCATTGGAAGTGACAGCCCAGATAAGGCAGGTAATCATATCAGATCTTGGGGGACTGCACTGACTACTTTTTAATTGATAATTCCAAGTTTCTGTAATAAATTTATTTCTTAATTATATACATCATGTCATACATAGTAGATAATGATTACCACTAGCTTAAGTCTGTGGCCTTCAAGACATCCTTCTCCCTACCATATAATCATAATTTTCCTTCCAAATTAAGATTTCCTCAGGAAGAAAATGAACAAAACCTGCACATAAAATCCAATTCCTTCCAAATAAAATAAAAGTAGGTAAATTTAAGATGCTAAGTTAAGTAAGTGATTTTAATTAGTGGATCATTTCAGGAAGATCATAAAACATTTAAATAACACTGAAGTTATGTATATTTAAGCAGTTTTATGGAGAATTAAAGTCTTAAATGGTAAATTTCAAATGTAAATACAAAAGTCGATGGAGGAATGTTAATTGCTTTTCCTAAGTTTCTCACATGGCCTAGATGTTATGGGAGGTATCCAGAATTACATTCATGGTAATAATGTGCCTAATTCAAAGCTTATTAAAGTCCTTGGAATTTTTCCATGGATTTTAGCAGTCATTGTACGAAAACAACAAATACTTTTCAATGTCTAACTTCCAGTTCTATGAAAGTCAATTATATGTCAAAATTATGTAATGTAGAATTATGTGCATGAGTGTGTGGGAGTGTGCCTGAGGGTGCCTGAGGGTGTCCCCGTGTGCTGAGGTGTACCCAAGTGTCCCTGAGTGTGCCCAGGTGTGTCCTGGTGTGTACGAGTGTGTCTGTGTCTGTCTGAGTGTCCCTGTGTGTCCCTGGGTGTCCCTGGGTGTGTCTGGGTGTGTGTGAGTGTCCCTGAGTGTGGTGTCAGTAATTTAACATAATGGTAAATTTTGAGTTCAGAATTCCTTTTAATAGGCAAGAAATTTAAACGGACTTTGAAAACTTACCCAGCTACCTCTTTAACAAATAAAATTGCACTTGCAGCAGCAGTCATTTTACAC